TCAAGACCTGGCCGGACTCGGTCATGGCGGCGGTAAGGGTCGTAGGAGGTTGTGCGGAGGTGGCTTGCGGTGTCTGGTGGGCACGTATGCGGTTCGTGCAGCTCGTCAACGGTATCGACTTTGTCTCGAGGATAGGATCTGAGGCCTCGTCGTCGGATTCTTCGTCATCGTCCTCTTCGTCCTCCTTCTCCATCCGCGACAGACTGCTCATCTTCATGACCATAATCTGGTTCTCCTTGTCCCTTCCTCGCGCTGCTTGTGTGCCGGCCACTGAGTAGACTGTTGCAGGGTATGTTTTGCGGTCTGCGCCTAGGTTGTCGGGTACGATGTCGCATGAGAGACAGGGCCATGGCGCTTCAAGCGCATGGAGCATCTCGTATGTGGAAAGATCGGGGTTCAATGTCTCGCCTGGTGAGAGTTTGTGTCGACCGGGAATGAAAGTATCTTGGTCGACATCCATGCCATCTGAAAGCGTTAGTTTTTGGAATTTTGACGATTTCCTCCGACAACCTACTCTCGCGCTCCTCAGCTTCGCGCTCTTCGTCTGGTCTTCCGTCCACACCTGCCTCGAGAATCTCATCCTCGCTCTCAAATTCATCTTCGAATTCATCCTCAAACTCGCCCGCTTCGTTGTGTTGATCGATTTCCATGGGGCGATCTCCATTTTTGATAGCCTCTTGCTCTTGCTCTGAGTCTGCGGGTCGCTTCGCCATGGTGTGTGAGTGCGTGAGGTTGTGTTTTGGGGTGTCTTGTGGCAGGCGTAAAAAAGTTGGCGCAGGAATTTGTCCCGCCAAATGTTTTTTGAGGCGGCTTATCGATCGGCGTATCGGACCACGCTATGACGCCCCCCTCTCTCAGGTGCCCACCGGGGCTGTTGCGTGCATCTCTGGAGCGAAACACTGCGCGCTACCCCCAGTCCAATCGCATCCCGCACATCCCAGGTCAACACCACAGAGGCCGCGCCCATATACCGTGTCTCCCCTTTAAAGTCGCATAGAATTGTTCGAGGAGCAGAGTCGCCAAGGAAGAAGAAAACACACTGTCAGCTTGCATTCACCGTCTTGACGCGTGCCAGCGCGCTTTCAGCTCAGATCAACAACCGCGGGGACGCTGAGACATACTAGCCATGGAGCCAGAATACTCGAGTCAGGAACCCGCGCAGCAGCCCTACGTAGCTGCCACAGAAGTGCAGCACGTACACCAAGTGCAGCCTGAGCAGCTGCCGCCCCAGCAACTGCAACCCGAGCCAATGCAGCCCGAGCAGGCGCCTATCGAAGCGGAACAGGAAGCGCAGAAGCACATGGACCAGACCATGGACGTAGCCGACGACAGCATGAGCTCGACCATTACCGCCTCGACTGTCACACCGCTACCAGACCTCACCCAGAACGCGAGCCTTAATAACAGTCCCAACCCCTACGAGCAGCCTCACCGACCCTCAACATCCTACTCAGACACCGCGTACCAGTACACAACACACAACGGGACGCGCTTCAACACATCATCAGACGCCGACACACCTCCACGGCACGGCTACTACGATGCCAACAAGGAAACACACATGGGCCAGTCGCATTCGCGGCCCAGCTCGCAGATGGGACGCTATCCGACTTCGGAGGGCAACACGCGGTCAAACTCATATCAAGACCAGCGAGGGAGCGCCCAACAGCAACAACAGGAGGCCGCCAAAAATGCCAGCGTCGTCATCAAGGTCGGCATGGTCGGAGACGCGCAGATCGGAAAGACTAGTCTAATGGTCAAATACGTTGAGGGCAGCTGGGACGAGGACTACATCCAAACGCTCGGTGGGTTACACAAGCACGTTTCACAAACTGCAGATTCTGACAACCACAGGCGTCAACTTCATGGAAAAGACCATCTCGATCCGGAACACGGAGATCACCTTTTCCATTTGGGATTTGGGTGGTCAACGTGAATTCGTGAATATGTTGCCGTTGGTTTGCAACGATGCTGTTGCCATACTCTTCATGTTCGACTTGACGCGAAAAAGCACATTAAATTCCATCAAGGAGTGGTACAGACAGGGACGCGGTTTCAACAAGACTGCCATCCCGTTTTTGGTCGGCACAAAGTACGACCACTTTGTCAACTTCCCGCGCGAGGAGCAGGAGGAGATATCTAATCAAGTACGAGTCCCTGCCAAAAACCATTCAGAGCCGTAGGACTAACAGCGCCTAGGCCAAGCGATTTGCGCGAGCGATGAAGGCCAGTCTAATATTCAGCTCAACCAGCCATAGCATCAACGTGCAGAAGGTGAGAGCTGTCCATCCCCATTACCAAGCCCATACTGACTCTGCTTCAGATCTTCAAGATCGTGCTATCCAAAGCCTTTGATCTGAAATGCACCATCCCCGAGATAGAAAATATCGGCGAACCCTTACTCCTCTACCAGGCCGTTTAGTCGCCGGCAGACCGTAGAGTCAGGCCCAGGACAGAGGGGACGCGTATGAACCTGTCCGAGGGTCAGATTGGGCGCGTCTTCTACCGGAACGTTACCATGAGCGAATGATTTTCATGACTGTTTTGCGTGGGATTGCATGGCTCGGCGATTGGAGCAAGGTGCTAGATACATGGTTGGTCCAAAACCGGCGTTCTTCTGCTTGTATATGCGGAAGTGATTGTATGATTCGGGCAGCAAGGCCTCGGCCGGGGCACAGAGTCAGCGCCAGGACGCGCAAGATTTGTAGCTTTACAGCATACATCCTAGTGTAATACCGACTTGTCAGAATCAACTGCATCTTATTAGGTTTGCGTGACTTCCAATCAACACGCCTGGCGGCAAGTTTAGGCGAATGACGTAAGCTTCCGCAGCTAAAAAGTTACGGATCCCAGCAAGCAACACCAATTAACCCAGCTCCAAAACCGCGTCCACAGAATTTGCCCCAGCACGAACGAGGTTACAACATCGAGAAACCGGGTCGCGAACCGATCAACACACCAAATATCAAAAGCAACCCATTGCCTTTCCAGTAGGATCGTCGCGGAGGCTGAACAAGAACGACTTGGGGGGATACAATCCTTAGAAAGACAGCTTCAACCCACCACCACAATGGCGCTTCCTTCAATAGCGCTCCCGGGGCAACTGCTCGGAAGTGTCGACAAATACAGTCCAGGTCCAGGAACGCACATCCACGACTCGCAAATCTACGCCTCAATAGCTGGACCCGTTTTCTCTTCGCCATCACATCCCTCCACCCAAAGCGCATCTTCCAAGTCCGGCAAACTCGCGCCGCTCCTCTCAATAACGCGTCCTCCCACCTCCACCGACCCCGGTATCCTCGGTCCCAACTCTGGCGGCGGCGTACCCCTCCTTCCAACCGTCTCCAGCACTGTCCTCGTCCGCATAACGCGCCTCGGCCCACGCTTCGCGAGCTGCGAAATCCTCGTCATCGACAACGCCGTATGTCGCGAAGCCTTCCTCGCGCAGATCCGACGCGAAGATATCCGGGCTACAGAGAAGGACAAGATAAAGATTGAGGAGAGCTTCAGGGTGGGTGATTTGGTCAGAGGCACGGTCATTAGTCTGGGAGATAGCGGCAATTACTATGTCGCTACGGATCGCAATGAGTTTGGTGTTGTGTTGGCTAGGAGTGAAGAGGGGAGGGTTATGCATCCGGTTAGTTGGAAGGAGTTTAGGGATCCGGTCAGTGGGAAGGCGGAGGCGAGGAAGGCTGCTAAGCCGTTTTGATGGAACTTTTGGCATATAATGGGGAAGATGAAGAGGGAGGAAAGTTAGGTTGCTGGAACAAGCACGGCAACCGGCGATAAGATACCCACGACGTGGAATGAAGAGTAAGATCAAGTGTATTTGGCATGTGCAGAAGACGATAGAGGACTACGAAGGTCGTTTATCCTTGACAAACTGACATGCTTTCTGACCAAAAGCCTTGGAACTGGGTAACGATAACCGCTATCGAATGCACCAGCTGCGAATTGCCCTATCTATTCCATTTCCCCGGCCTCAGGCACACAGCAACCTCGACAACAGCATCACCAACGGAACAAGCCGCTGCACACCAAAGATCTAGCTGAGACAGCGAGGGGCCACGAGCTAAATATACCTCCTACTTTCCACCTTCTTCCAAACCCCCGGCGGCGAAAATAGCAACGAAGCAAAACCAAACACGGTCGCAGCGATTGATGTGACAATACTCTCGGTACCTGCATCGTGACGCGTATCATGTATGCAAGGCCGGGGAATCACACCCAACACGTAGTGTTCCATGACTCGAGGCAACACACGGGGCCAAGGGTATGTAGTAGCATGTGTAAGGTAACCCGAGAAGATGAGCTAAGTTTAGTGGCCAGGACTGCAGTCCTAGTGCTTCACACATGCATGTAGTAGAGCTGCACCACGAGAATGATTTAGAGTGAAGTTGAAATGAACAGCGAATAACACATCGTTTGCAATTGTGAGAGATAAAGTAGAATATACTACGATTGACGCTTTCGCTGTACGCGTCGAAGACGCTTTTAAATGAATCAGCCAGGTGCTCGCTGCACACAAATCCCCTATGATGTCGTCATGAAATAGCACAACGAGGGCGTCTCTGGAAAATCCCATCTGTATCCCACCGCACCGTCTTAATCCTTCTCCTTTTTCTTCCCTCAGATTTGCTTCAAAAACACCCAAAATCGCAGCCTTTCCCTAGGTGTGAATGTGAATGGTACCAGGAACCGTAGATACGCCGAAACTCCGACCATGCTTGGGTCGACGCTGATCGCGTTGGATGAGCGCCTTTCGCTAATCATGCCACGCAAGATGGTATAAAGATGACATCTTGTGTAATTCTTGATCGCAATTCTGGTGTTTGGAAAACACTCCCTCTACCGTGTATGCTGTGGTGATGTCGTTTACAACAGCGACGATCGTTCGACAGCAGTATTGAAGGAGGTCGTTCTCAACAATACCCATAGTCTTACAATGCTATCCTCTTCCAGACAGCAACGCCTCTTCTAATTGGTAGTGTCGTAGTCTTCTACAGAACGCCTCCGGGTAGGGGTGTCCCTCTATTCTGGTTACCCCACCCGAAGCTCTCTGTCTGCGGATTGACGGGCCGTACATCGTTTCCGCCCACAGTGCTGACATGGCCTTCTTGCGGTGCTGCATGCTTCCTAAGCATGAACATGGGTTTCCGGCCTTCCTTGTCAAGTTGTTTGAACAATATCAGCGGCCTCTCGTTGAGTCCAAGACAGCGCTCCTGATCACCGTGTACAATATACAGGGCATACTGGCGCCAATCTGCCGTTATGTTATATTTCTTAAGGGCAACCGGGAGCACCTTGTGGCACGGATCGTCGATTGAGACTCGGAACGATTTGAAGATTTCAACTTGCGGGTTCGTAGATGGCGTGGATGCGGGATTGGATGCGGACGTGTTCATTGAACTTGAGCCGCCAGAGAGCGGTGGGTCGCGATCGTCGGGGGTTGGTGTTGGTGCAGCGTTGTTTCGCATCTGTCGTGATGACAGTGGTGCGGGCGTAGCGCGGGGGTCGCGATTGCGGTCGGATACAGCAGTTGTGTCTGAGTTCCATGTGTTTTGACTCCACCCTGAGCTGCCGTCGTGATCGTGCCCGCTTCGGGGTATTTCGCGGTTGTATTGGCGGCCTTGGCCTTGTGTGTATGCGGGGGATGTCGGGGAGGGTTGGGCGATGGAGTTGGGCGACAGTTGCGGGCCACCACCGAGAGATGCTGTGAGGTGTGAGGAGGCTGCGACGGCTGCTGCGGAGGGGTCCAAAGAAGAATGATCGACAAGAGCGCGATGTTCTTGGATTGTTGGAGAGGGGTTCTTTGGCGCGGATCCAAGGAAAAGCTTCTTGGTAGAGAACTTACGCGAAAGACTGCTGCCACCAGATCTCTCTTGAGTTGCAGGTGGCGATGTGACGGAGTGCTCGTGGGGCGTAGGCAGGGGTTGGTTGTCCTTGAGCATGCGCACGAGTGGCAGGATCTCCTCTCGTAGCCGCTTGTTCTCGTCCATGACCCTGCTGAGGTCTTCTCGGAGATGTCGCAGCTCCGATTCGGCCGTGTGTATGCGCTCGTCGCGCGCCTGGACTACGCGAATGACCTTGGCGAAGTCGTCTTGGGTTGGCGGCGCTTCCTGTGCCGACGTATCCGCGGCTGAGGTGGTGGTTAGACGTGCAACGCCATGGCAAAGGCAATGGACTCACATAGCGGGACGTAGTCGTCGGGGTCCATGGGCACGTTCTGCCGCACCTTGATCTCGTAGACGGCCTTGAGGATTGTCAGGCGGTGGCCTACGCTGCCGACGCCCAGCTCCTTCAGCTCGGCATGCTGAAGGGCGGCGAGCACGTCGCCGGTGATGCCCTCGTCTACAAACAATGGGTTAGCAAACAATGCTAATGGTGCGCGCGGTGCGACGTACTAGCAAAGGTATCCGAGTACTGCTCCAGGCCCAGGTCGGCGATGAAGTCGGCCGTCTGGTCCTCGTTCCACTCCATTATGTGCCCCGTCGGGCTGCTCTTGCTGTCGCGCGAATGGGTGAAGGTGGTGGGCGTGTGTTCAGTGCTCAGCGGGCCGGAGCTCGTGGGGGAGCTCTCGTACTCGGCGGGTAGGGTCGGGCTAGAGATGCCCTGGCGCTCAAACTCGTCATCGGCGTCCGAGTCCTCATGGTACTTGGTCGTGTAGGCCATGGTGGGCGTGACGTCGACGGCCTCGTCGGGAGTCGCAGGGTTGGCAGAGGGCGGAGGGAGGTGATGCTGCCAAGCCCTCGCAGCAAGCTCGTCGAGGGGACGACGTCTGTGTTATCGATGGCGATGTCGCGCAGGCCGGGCGGTCCAGTGTCGTCGATAGGGCACCCTGTCTGAGACGAAGCGAGATTGAGCCGGCGTGTTTCGTCTCCAGCGGGAGCAGGTCGGGCTATCCTGGGCGCAGTCTCAGATACACTGCTAGCCGTGGCACGCAAGAGTGCAGGGCGGGGAGGGTGAAGGTCTTCGCAGGCGGCCAGGCGTGCCGGTCCCTAAGCGCTTTGTCGTCGACGCCTGATGGGGAAGCGCGTATCCTCGGGGGCTGCGATGGTCCCTGCAGTCGCCCTATGCCTTTGCCTGAGGTAGAAAGAAGGCGGCCAGGATGACTATGGAGAGCAGCGAGACGACGAGGCAGTGCACAGCAGGAGGAGGAGCGCTCTGCTCACGACGCCTTAGTAGACTGGCTCGCCTGCTTCTGGATGCCAATACCAATACCGTCGACAGGCGGCTAGCAGGGCCACCCAAGCCAAAGCGGGATAGAGCCCTCTGGGTCCGAGCTTCCCATACCAGCTGGGAGCCAATATTGCGATAAAGGATGCAGGTACCAAACACTCAGCGCTCACCACCGCCTGCCCATCCACGTCGGGCGGCTTTGCACATGAACCCTCTTGCTTCAGGCTCCTAGCCGCCCCCTCTCGCGGCGCCGCTCCCGGCATCTCCCCTCCTCTCCCCCCATCGCCCACGCTGCACCTGCTCGCTTTCGGATCCGGCAAGTGCAATCTTGCAAGTTATCGTTCGCATCACGAGCCCGCAACGGCACCCGGTAAACCACGCACATGCGTCTAACGATCTTCACCGCCAACGTTGAACTAGGGCCATCTCTGCCGGCATCTGCCCGAATACGGCTACCCCGGCCAGTCGTTTAAGACGCTGCATCCCATATTACGACATCTGGCTACCTCCGAGCTTCAGAGCACAATCCCACGTGCGCCCAGCTCCCCGTCGTCTACGCGAACAGGATCACCCACTACTTCGCTATAAGGTAGCTCGCCCGGTATTGACAACTTTAGACGAACCTCCTCCTTTTTTCCTTTTGCACCACAATCTCACACCTGACGACTCACGAGCTCGGAACAATGTCTCAATCCATCAATGTAACTACGACTCAGGCCCAGTCCGGCATCTCCCAAGACCTGCGGAACAACATTTACTCGGCCCTTCTTTCTGGCGATGGCATCCGCAATATTGAATCCACCCTAGACGAATCCCTGCGGGCCTCTGGGTTCAAAGACGATCTAAGAGCCTACATTACCGATCTGTTCCGCTCGGGCCAGGCTACTACCTGCGAGGAAGCCCGGAATCTGGCGATGCAGAAGATCAGAGAGCAAACACGTGGTTTGGAGGATCAATCCAATGGCGTAAACGGCACCAACGGAACGACGAATGGGGACGGAGAAAATGGAGAGGAAGTCAACTTGAAGATTCCTAAATCCGCAATCGACGCCGGTGCAAAGACAGTCATGAAGGAGTTGGAGAAGGTGTGCGACATCACATACGAAGACGACAAGTGATCGCCCCTCCTGTAATCTGAGAAAGAGTCCACCTTCCATGCCACAGCAAAATGCAGGCTCGTGTCGCCCGAGTCAGTGTAGTTGAAGGGGAAGTCTTCAAAGCAAAGGCCTTAACGAACGATACTATCGAGCGCACAGCCGACACCGTTGCAATGTGGGGCGGGCGACATCGTTCAACGGCACCGATGGGTTCCGGCCGCTGTCTCGGGTGATCAAAGACCTCGCCTGTGCCCATTGCCTCATAACCGCTGCGCCAAGTGGACAGCGTTGAATCAACCGTGTTGGAGGCTCGGCCGTTCGTTGAGTATGGATGATTGGTGTAAAAAGTGCACGGTGATGGAAAAGGGAGTCAGGTCAGAGGTAGTCACACAGATCAATACAAGGACATAGTAGGCGCAGCAAAAGTTCATTGATAACATGCATTCTCATTGAGGCCATTGGTTCGTGAAAGATACTACTGATATCCTGTCAAAGCGCTAGCAATTACGCGCGCCTCCATCTATCTATGAGACGTCAATCGCCCCTCATGCCGTGTGATGATGAAAAAGGGAAACCCATCCGTCATGATCCTGCAACTGTCTAGTTGTACAGGTCCTCGTCCTCACCACCAGCGCCGAAAGTGTTCTGCTCACCGCCACCCGCTGCGTTCTCAGCGTCGGGGAAGCGGAAGAAGCTTGATCCACCAGAGTTCTTCATTGACTGTGCAAAGGCCTCGTACCGGCGGATCTCAACATCGGTGACGGAGCGACGAGCGGAGCGCATGGCCTCCTCGAAGTGAGCCTTGGTCAGCACAGGTACTGGGTCCTCCTCGTCTACTTCCATGTCGACATCCTCACCGGCAGCCTCGCGAGCCTTGCGGCGCTCGATGTCAATCGCAATAGACTGCTTGATGGCGAGCTTGACCGCACGCTGGGTGACGAATCCAAGATCGGCACCAGAGAATCCGTGGGTGTTCTGGGCGATGAAGTCGATGTTGACATCCTCGGCGACAGGGGTCTTGCGAAGCTGAGCCTTGATGATGCTGGCACGCGACGCCAGATCGGGCAGAGGAACGTAGACGAGAGTGTCAAGACGACCAGGACGGCACAGAGCATTGTCGAGCTGTTCCGGTCGGTTGGTGGCACCGATGACGAAGACGTTCTTCTTCGATGTCATACCGTCCATCTCGGTAAGGAGCTGGTTGACGACACGGTCAGATGCACCACCGGCATCTCCTTGAGATCCACCACGCGACTTGGCGATAGAGTCCAACTCGTCCAGGAAGACGACGCAAGGTGCGGCGGCACGCGCCTTGTCGAAGATGTCACGGATGTTGCTCTCAGACTCACCGAACCACATGGAGAGCAGCTCGGGACCCTTAATGGAGATGAAGTTGGCCGCGCACTCGTTGGCAACAGCCTTGGCAAGAAGCGTCTTACCAGTACCAGGAGGACCGTAGAACAGTACACCTCGCGATGGAGACATACCGAACTTGAGGAACTTATCGGGGTGGTCGACTGGGTACTGCACGGACTCAATGAGCTCGCGCTTGACTTCCTCCAGACCACCAATGTCCTCCCACCGGACGTTGGGAACCTCGACAACGGCGACCTCACGAAGGGCTGATGGGTTGGATACGCCAAGAGCGAAACGGAAGTTCTCCATGGTCACGCCCAGTGAGTCCAGAACCTCGGCGTCGATGGTGTCCTCGTCGAGATCGATGAGGTCCATCTTCTCACGAATCTGCTGCATGGCAGCCTCAGAGCAGAGCGAAGCCAAATCAGAACCAACGTAACCGTGAGTCTCGGCAGCGATGGTCTGTAGGTCGACGTCGTCACCGAGCTTCATGTTCTTGGTGTGGATCTGCATGATCTCGAGACGACCGGTAGGGTCAGGAATACCGATGTCGACTTCACGATCGAAACGTCCGAAACGGCGGAGAGCGGGGTCGATCGAGTTGGGTCGGTTGGTGGCGGCCATGACAACAACGTTCGAGCGAGCCTTCATACCGTCCATTAGGGTGAGCAGTTGCGAGACGACACGACGCTCGACTTCACCGTTGGTCTTCTCACGCTTGGGCGCGATAGAGTCGATTTCATCAATGAAGATGATCGCGGGGGAGTTCTTCTCGGCCTCCTCGAACGCCTTGCGCAGATTTGACTCTGACTCTCCGGCCATCTTGGACATGATCTCGGGACCGTTGATCAGGAAGAAGAAAGCACCGGTCTCGTTGGCGACGGCACGAGCCATTAATGTCTTACCGGTACCGGGAGGACCGTACATCAGGATACCACGCGGGGGCTTGATACCGATGGACTTGAAGAGCTGAGGATGCCTCAGTGGCAACTCGACCAACTCTCGGATCTGCGCCATCTGCTTTCGGCAGCCACCAATGTCGTCGTAGCCAACCTCGTTGAGGTTACCCTCCTCGTCCTCGCGCTGGATGGGCTCGCCCTCGCAGTGGATGACCGTATCTTGTGCGACGATACCGAACTCTGGTGGGTCGACCTCGACGACCTTGAACTCCACTTGTCGCATACCGCCGCGGGCTGTGAATGTGTCGCCTTGACGAACCGGTCGGTAGGCTTCGCGGAAGTATGGGGCAAGGAAAACGTCGAACAGCGAACCGGTGATACCCTCGACGGTGTCGGCGATGGGAAGGACTGCAATGCGCTTGGCCTGCAATGGAGTTAGCTTTGAACCAGCACTTCAAAGATGCAGCTACGTACGTATTTGATGTCAGGGCACGGGTGGATGGTGATAACATCACCGTGCTTGACACGCAGGTTGTGGCGAACGACACGGTTTATCCGCGCAGAGCCATCGTCGAGGTCGTCGTCGGCGAGCACGATAAGAACTGTGTCCTTTCGCTTCTTGCCCTTGACGAGGACTGTGTCACCACGGAAGAGCTGGAGCGTCTCCATGGTGTTGTTTGAGAGGGCGATAATCGAGTTGTCATCGTTGACGGCGTCGGTGACACTGCAAAGTCAGTATGGCTTCTTTGTGTCGCTTCGTGGCGACTTACATCAGCGAGTTTGGCTTCTTCTTCTTCTTGAGGATGGCAGTTGCGGTCTCGTCGTTCTGTGGCGGATCAGTAAAGGCGGTCTCAGACGGGTGTTTGGCAGTGCCTACATCCTTGGGCTCAGCGCCATCGGGGTTCCTGGAGTCTTGTTAGTCGCGGTTGCAGACAGGCGGCTGGTGGCAATGCACGTACTTGGAAAGATCCACCTTCGGCTTGGAGTGGTCTGGTTCAGCGGACATCTTGCTGATGTGTCTCTATGGAATGCTGCGACTGTACTTTTCCGGTGCAAAGAGGGACGCCGGGATTTGCAGCGCGGTGGGATGGGTTGTGGGTGGGGTGGGGGGTAAGATGGAGGTGATGGGTCTTTGGTGTTTGGGGCGTGGTGGTTTAAGTAAGTTGGAGCTTGAACAGTGTCGGTGATCTCACTGCTCGAGCTAGCTTGATGTTGCCTTAGGGTCCGTGCTCCTTCCGCCGCCGCAACATTGGAAGTTGCTGGAAACGCTTAGACAAGCCGGCCTACTGGAAACACTGTGTCCCTTTCACCGTCAATTGCTTCCCGCCTCCCTCGGAAAGGCCCCATGCGGGCCAATCAGGCCCGCATTGTGCTACTCTGCGCATCTCCAGAGTGAGACTGGCGTTGTTACGCGTCCGACTGGAGCCTGCTGCAGCCTCATTCGCGCCACCAAAACGCCAAGAAAGTCTCCATATCGGTCCTTCGTCAGTGCGCGCGATAAGTAAACCTACATGTCCGTCAGGTACACGTAGACCATAGCAGTACTGGTACCCGTTCAACGCTTGCCAAATCCTATGCGTACCATGGGTAGCTATGGCAGTTACTCTCTGGCACACATATAAGGAAAGAACCCTTGCTGTTTCACATCACGATACTTCTGGATGTTTTCAGATTGTTCATGGTTCGCCTGCATATTCTAGTCTTTCAGGCTGCTGACTGCTTTATGGTCCCTGGCCTCATGATCACGTTGCAGCACCGGATAGTGCGAAACTTCACAGCTTGACAGACTTACACCACGACGAACTCGATCTATCTTGGTCACGTTCTTCTAAGTGAACAGCTTCGGAGCGATGTAGATCTGTATCAGGATATACTAACTTCTTGCACTAGACATCTTCACACGTCCTGCTGTTGCATTCCAGCAGACGCTGCACACGCTTTCTTCTCCATCTCGCGCAAGCACGGCGCTTGGAACATATTGCCATACACGATGTTCTTCACAGTACCGACAGCGACTAGTAGCCACAAAAGTATGACACTGGCACCAAGTACAGTACCCAGAATCCTGAAGAATGCGGATGGCAGTTCCTGTCCGATGGTAATGGTAGACATTGTAAAGACGCCAATGGGAAAGGTAAAGCCCCACCAACCCATATTGAAAGGGAACTTGCTCCGACTGATTGACGCGACAGCGAAGAATAGCCATACCAAGCCAAAGCCCCATAGCGTGATGGCGGTCATCCAGCCTAGTACGTAGAGAACTTCGCCGGCCATTGGATGCAACGTGTTCGTCTCTGGAAAGGTCTTTGAAGCTTGGATTCCGAGTTTCAAAGCGGCGTATCCGCCCTGTCCCATAGGTCCAAGAGGCAGGAAGACACTGACGATTACTTCCTGAGATGGAAGATTATGAATGGCGAGACGGTGGAAGTACATCACCATAACCACGAGTGCTAGTGGCACGCCCATACCCCACAGCACATAGCTGGTAACTATGGTGATTAGGGCGTGGTTTGGTTCAGGTAGCACTGACGCGACAACGCCACCGGAAGCTGCTGCAACGATGCAGGCTACGATCGGGAGGAGCCAGGCTGCTGTCATCATATCGTGGCGGTTTTGGTGTTTCGTCATCCTGCTGTGATGTCAGCTGGCGATGTTACTTCGTTTTTGTCACTCTGAATATATAGTGCCAGACTGTTACGACCGAAAGCAAACATGGATCAACTTACATTTGGAAAGGTAGCCAGAGGCAGCAGGCCACGCTCAGTGCAACATCGACCCACCACATGCCCCACACAATATACGGTGTCGAGCCACCCCAAGCTGGTACGCAAACAGTAGCGAACATGTTGACGATGGTAGCAAATCCCATGGGTATCGTGCCGAGAAAGAGCGATTGCACCGGATGCCGAAGCATCAGCGTCCATGTCGCGGGGTACAGTGCGTATCGAAGGATGGATATCAAGAGAATGATGGAGAATATGAGAACGTTGAGAGCGAAAAACGCGATACTGAGGGTTCTCAGCGAGCCATGGTAACGAGGGTAGAGCTCAGAGAAGGCATTGAGCAAGATCGCGACGATGCCTGTACCCATTGTGACGGCGAACTAGGCTTGGTCAGTTTTGTATTCCGCTAAAGCTGCGAGGGGATTCTCATACCCATGATGGAGTGAAGTTTTGGACAACGCGTCGCCAGCCCCGACGGTCGGCAGGTATCAGCCACTTGGGCAGCACTTGAGCATCTGCAAATTGGTCCTTGCCGCGAAATGTTTCTCCTGGCCGTAGACGAGCCTCACGTTGTATCGCACATGGTGTTGACATTCTGATGAGATCTGACTGGAGGGTTGGGGTTGGAAGAGACCACGGGTGATTGACCATGAGAGATTGGAATCAGAGAAGAGGAGATCACACTTCACTTATACAAACAACCGCAGCTTAGAGTCATCATATTTCCAGGCTAGACTTTTCATTCTTCACAATCGCCTGTATCTTCGTCGAGATTTGCTGATTATACGGCTTGCACAGGCCACAACGGCCGGTTCCTCGGCGACGGTCCGAACTTCGTTACGTCAAACTCGATTACTCACACCATCGCGATAACGTTAGGAATAAGTTCTCTTCGTCCACGAATGTTGTGCTAACGGGTTTCTGGTTACCACGATTGCGTGATGGAGGGTTTACAGACTGAAGCCGGAAGCCCTTGAGCAATCTGGAAGGGATGATTGATGCTAGCTGAACTAGGTCTAGAGCAAATTGCGGCTTCCGGACTGCCCAAGTGCGGAGGCGCGGGCAGATAGGAGCACTCCACGGGCCTGTTCGTGGTCTTCGCACTCGAGCCCTGATGGAGCTCATCGCTGCAACGCGGTGTTCTGCTCCGCACCGTGGTAGTTGCACCTGTGAATGTGCTGCTCTCGCTGTCACTGCACACGCGTTTCATTACATCCCGAAGCGACACCGAAGACCTGCTTTTGTAGAGTGTGTCGGTATTGCTGACGTTGCTTTCACGGGTTTACTTTCTGACCGGCAACGTCGCGTTCGTTGCTTGGTTGCCGGATGAGGGAGCAATGTCCCTCCTAGGGCCATCGTCGCACCTGCCTGGCATGTATCGTCAGACGTACATGCTTTCGGGTTACGTTAGGTATGAAATTTTCTGTTCCGACATCAAATATACCACAATGCGAGCTAACAAGTTCTGTCAAGCCTACGGGTCGGGTGTCACCAATGCGACTCTGTATTTCTTTCATTGGCAGAGTTGCGATCACACGAACAGATCACACACAACTTCTGTCAGAAATGTGATCACCAGTTTTCCAACTGGACAGAGCTGAAGCATCATTGCCGCAAACGTAAATGTGCTTACGTCTGTGACGGGTGCGATGGAATCTGGGAAACTGCTTGGCTTTTTCAGAAGCATGTTGAAGCATTCAATGTCTGCAAGATATGCGAGCGGCACTTCGACACATCCTCGAACCTAATACATGTAAGTCGATGCCAGCTGTTGAGACGCAACCAAGGCTGATTGCGTATTACAGCACGAGCTGACGCATCGTAAACCTGCCTACGAGTGCCTCGCTTGCACACGCAATTTCACCACCTACGGAGGAATGATCATCCACCTTGAGTCTGGTGCCTGTTCTTCCAGTATTGACGCATACGACTTGGCGCTCACGACCGCGAAATGCTTCCAAGGAGCCAAATTCTTCATACATAAGGAAGATCGAGAGGCCATCAAACAGGGCATCGACTTGCTGCGAGTATTTCGCGAGCAAGGTGGTAGCACTCTTGTCTTCTGTTGTCCTACTTGCGGCACCAATTTCCCGAAATTATCGAGTATGTTCATGCACGTGGAATCGCCTGCTTGCTCTCAGCAGCTGGGCGAAGGGGCAGTTGGCAAGCTTCAAACGTGGCTTTCTAACTGTCACAGTTGAAGAACAGCTTCACGACGAGGTTATTACTCATCTCGACGTTTCCAGATACCAGCAACTTCTATGATGTACATTAACAACGTCCGCGGGTATCCGCATTTGACCTTCATAAGGGCTGGTCAGAATTCGTGTCGCATCTTGCTGCATACACATCAGAGAATCTCAAAAAATGAATGCTTAACAGAGTCATGTATACTTCTTTGCACGAAAAATGCGACACGAGCTGTTGCAGAAACAATACATGTGTTCGGTATTACTTTTCAAACAAGCTACCTCTACATTTCTAAAGTCTGTAGGTTCGAGCCAGTGGCATTCATCTTCGCCTCTGCCATCAACATCCTCTTCTGGTCCAGGTCGAAAACGATATACGCCCCTTGCATGAATGGGGCACCCAGGCTCGCGAAATCGTCTCCATCCGAAGGAAACATCGGTAGATAGCACCGGGTGCCGCTTGAGGACGAGTCGCGTACCAGCATTGCAGCCAAAGGAGTACTGACTTTCGCTCGGTTATTGTTGAAACCGAATGAAAGGCTCTCTCCGCGAGAGCCTAGATCGCATGACACACTACCCAGCTGACCCGCCTGCTCATCGAAGGTCGTACCTACAGCCATAGCTATAGCGCGGAGTGAGGCCGAGGGAATGTTCAGTGCTGGGTTTCCGGTATCGATTAACACTGGGGGTAGACCGCCTCGTGGTGCCAGGTCGACATTGGAGCCGGAGAGAGATGAGTCACCGCCCACTAGCTGCATGGAGCTCCAGTTGATTACAAATTTCGATGCGACTCCATTGTTGTTCAGCAAGAACGAACCTGCATCTTGGAGTTGACCTTGGAATTTAGCCGTGTCAACGCCGCTAAACACAATGGAGCCTTCTGGGTTACCTGTCGAAAGTTTTGTCAGTGGGATACACGGTAAAGTAGATGCCGCGACTCACGGAAGTCATTCATGAAAACACCATACACATTGGCGTCGGTCGCACCAGCATCTCTGAGTTTGGCGGGCGTGTTCTGATAAGTCGGCCGGACGACTTCATTCTCAACAGGTCCGATACCTAAGATAGGGAACAGTGGAGTGTCGGCTGGTAGGGAACCTTGTTCGATAGCTCCCAGCTGCGCATTAGATATCGTCTGCCTCCCAAGTGTCAATGCGGTAGAAACGAATCGCCCTCGGAACGCAGCACCATTAGCGAAATCGGTGTTTAGTTCTACACCGACATCTCTAAGGCTACTATCTTCGTCTGTGTTGAATGAGCCAGTGACGAAAAGAGTGCCGGAGCATTGTTGCTGTTGGTCTTGACATATACGACTGCCAGTCCTTGGGATGATGAGATCGCTGCTTCCCGTATCCAAAACTGCTGTTATCGACTGCGGCGGCGTACCGACTCCTATCGAGATGAGAGGAACGAATGAACCGGCATTGTCGATATGCTTGATAGGCATTGACAAGAGTTTCGGAGTTTGCGCCCGTGCAATTTGCACACCAATGAGGAAAGATATGCAGAAGGCGACGGTAGAGAGCGGAGATGCCATAGCAAGCAAGTAGGACGAATGCACCGACAGAGATGAATAGAACTGATGATGTATTAGAGTTGCTGGAGGACTAGTCGGACCGGAATGACCTCGCCGTACTTACTTTTGGCGAGCATATCTATACCCAACACACTGGAATCCTACCGAACATCCCATAGACAATTAGTCGAGTCATACCGTCTTTGGTAGAATCGGAAGGAGTCCTTTCGCAATGTCGATGCTAATCGTTCAAGCTCGAAGGCCAGCAAAAGCACCACCCATTGGCCAGCCTCGAGCCCGTCAATTAGGAATCCCCACAATCGCTGGAAATATCTCCATCGCAATAATCTACCTGACGGCTGCTAGAGAGGTCAAAAACACAGGTGTGGCAAAGTTGCCCGCAAAGGGTCAAGTCTGCCGACAAATATGAAGGCATCTTGCAGCAATAGTACAGGATGCCTTGTCCGCAACCGTCGCTACGTCGGAGCTACAGACACCGCGGGCTTCCCACATAGATTACTTGTTTCGGAGGATGTTTCGTCTCGAATCAGTGGGAGCAAAATGGAAGAGCAAAAATGTAGCAAAAAGAGAGTTGTCTCCCCACCATGAGTCGAACAAGGGACCTTCTGATAACAGCAGATATTACAGTCAGACGCTCTAAACCAACTGAGCTACGGGGAGAATACTTCAAAGCGAAGTCGTGCTTGCTGGATGGAAATTTTGCCAAATTTGTCATATATTATGGCGTGTGCGTGGCTAAGCTCACGGACTTCGGGTTGTGGCGCGCTGATATGCAAGAGTGGGGTCGAAGCGGTTCGTGTTCCCAACTCGCCGATTGCTGACCTCGGAACTCAAAGCGAAGAACACGACACGAACCGATTCGGAGACACCTAACATCTACCTAGGTATACCTGAGTGGAGTTCGATATCATTATCTACAAACCATGCCTTCCCCTATAACCGCCAAACAATCGCTAGAATACACCACTTGAACTATCACTCCTAGCCCCGCCACACCGCTTCAAGCACGCACATGAAGCTCAGCGGGTCTGCTTCCACTCTGACCACATCAAACCTCTCATCAGCCTGCTTGAAGATATCTTTCCACGCCTCCACCGGCCTCTCCTTCGCATTGAACAACGCCATCATCCTAAGATCAGTAGCTGTACCAAAGCCCTGTATACTCCTCGGCAATTCCTCCTCGCTCGGTCCCTGCTTGCCTACGTAGTCGATGAAGATGACGCGCGCACTAGGTTTGAGTGCAGGCCGAAGCGCTTGCAGTATCTTTACTGACTCGACATCTGGCCAGTCGTGGAGAATCCACTTGAGTATGTAGATGTCTGCTTCTACGGGCTGTGGATCGAACATGTTGTGTGTGCGGAAGGAGACGCGGGATTTGAGCTCCGATGGGAACTCTTTCTCGAATACTGGAGCGACTTCTGGAAGGTCTTCGACGACGATTTTGAGCTTCGGGAATTTGGCTGCGAGGACGGCGTCGTCGTGGCCAGCGGAACCGGCAAGCTGATCGTTGTTAGTCACAGGAAAGAGCTGAGATCAGCAGATACTCACATCAACAACTGTGGCTTCACCGGCAGCCTCCCAATCAACAGCATTGAGTATGATGTTCTCGGTGTGGAAAAGGTCCTTGATGTACGCCATGAAC